TATTTCAAATTATCGCAAAAGGATATCGGTGATTTTTTACAAAGCTTTACAAAGTTTCCGAGCCATCGCGTTAAAAACGATAAAGTTATGATGAAAAGGTCGTCATAGCTCAATGAGCGTCTATTAATTGGGTCCAAATGTTACTACAGATGGTATCTTTATTACACTTGGGTCCAGGCATTACACTTACGTCTTCTACAAGAACAACATGAATAGTATGATTTCGTGCTAACCTTTTAAGGCCAAATGCGGAAGGAGTTAACTCTGTCAACGTTGATGTTAACGGCATACTTCAGCCCTCAGCGAATTTCGCTTGCCGAAAAACATGCTCAGTATAAACATGCTTAACAGAGGGAACATAAAAATGTTTTGCCGAAGAAAATAAAACATTTTTATGTTTCTCATCCCTCTTTTATTTATTTTCAGATGTAAATGAGTGCACAGGTAATTCTGATAACTGTGACGTCAATGCAGTTTGTCAAAATACCGTGGGCTCTCACACGTGTTTATGTAATGCTGGATATACAGGAAATGGAAAACAATGTCGTGGTAAGGACGATTTCAAAGAAATACAGCAAAAAAGACTGAAGGCCATTTTAAACTCACACCACTTTTTTTCAGTACTATGGGCTCAAAATTACCCAGTTCCCATACTGCTGAAGTGCTTGTATTGATAGCGAAGAAAGTTATGCCTGCGAGCAAGTTCTCCATTCCAAATTGGGAGGGAAGAGAGCCCCGCAACGGAACGCAAAAAGGAGAGCGGCTAGGGGCAGAGGAAAAGAGAGGTCGCAATTGTCTCTACAGGGTTTTCATTTCTGGTTCAACTGGGCGAAGTGAAACACCATTTGGCTGAAAAAATAACCTTCCTGCCATAAACATTTTCTGTAAATTTACATTCAAAGCTTAACGTCCTTGGCTCCGAGAAAGAAAACAGGGCGAGGAAGAAAATCGCTCTATCTTTCCATTCCTTTCCTCATCCCTCGTTTTTGCTTCTCCTTTCGCATACCTCTCGTCACCTCGCACAATTAACCCAACTGAAGAGGTCTTTCGTTAAGGCTGGTGAAGAGTGTTATATAAATAATATCATAGGTGACGATTTAATCCTTAATTTTGGCGCGAAATTTCAGCGATAATTTGTAATTTCACATGTGAAATTACAAAATTGCCATGCCATGGCAACCTTCCGTACCTCTCAGTGTCAAGATGGCGACGAAGTTTTAAAATGTTACACCTGTAAAGAGTGTACAAATATCCGTTAGTAGTGAATTGTATATCTGCAAAACAGAGGTTTTTGGTAAAAAGGTCATTTCAGTTCTTTTGGGGGAAGGTGAAAACAGGATCTCTAAATTCAAGTTACAAAACGGACCGAGAAAACAAGGATCAGAAAATGTCAATTATTGGCCTTTCATTTCTTTGTGGTTATTAAAGCCATTATAGCATACAACTCGTTCGACCACATACCAGTGAGATGAGTAACGTATAATTAGTTCATTCGGTTTGTACAGGTAATAGCATGATTTGTTGAAATATTTGGCATAAATACCACGAGTGATATTTCGAAATTGTTATAAGTAATTTCACGAGCCGTTGGGCGAGTGAAATTTGAGACAATTTTGAAATATCACTAGTGGTATTTATGACAAATATCACGTACAAATCATGCTATTATTTGTTTATACTACTACCCACAAAAGGTTTGTAATTTTCACATGTAGGTACTTTAAATTAAGCTGAAATACCACTGCTCTAAGCAAAAAAAATTGCAGTAATTTCTCATGCAGTAGTATAATAAGATTAATTCATTCATCCATTTACTTCTTTCTCAAAAACGTAAGATGGCAAGCGATTTCACTTTCAATATTTTTCAAAACTGCAGCAACCACAAACATAGTCTCTTGTTAGATTTGCCATAATATTAATCTGAAAATGTCAAACAAATTAAACATGAGATGATCCACCTACTTGCGGCTTAGCTGAACTGTTTCAGAGCCCGCCTTCCTTTTTTTATACTTTCTGAAGTGCTAAATTAGAACTTATAATTATATTTGAACAAGGACCCGTTTGCAAAAGTAAATATGTATTTTTCTTAAAATTTTGAGACAGCAACTGCATTAAACTAATTAACACCCGATATTGAGTTGCATAAAGTGAACTACAAGGTTGCTAAGTAGTATTTTGGTTCAGGTTTCAAATAACATTTTCAAGAATCGTCGGTCACGATTATTTTGATGAGAGAAAGGGAAATAACCTGCAAAAAAGTTGCGCTATCAAAACCCTTACAAACCGTAAAGTCACCAGCTGCGTAAAAGGAGGCGAGTTTCGGCCACATCCTTAGAAAGAGAGATCCTTTATGGTGCATGCTGCCTCAAAACACCAGGTAAGTGATATCCAAAAATCACTAAGGTAGACTACATATCCAAATATTCCGCTACCCTCTGAGAATATTTTTCATGAATTAGACTTTTTATGCTTGTATACCTAGTTTGAGAGTAAACCATACTGTTGAATGACGACAACTATCAATTTGGTTTTCTAAATCGCAGAGCCCAAAATGTTTACGCTGAGCACATCCACCGAAACCCTCCAGTTAAGAACAAAAAGCGGTTATATGTGAACCATGATGAGGTTTATGCGACGAAAATTGCCAAAATATATAAACATAATTATATTTCTTTGAAATGGCTAATTCATGATGGACATCTGTCGTGTCCGGCTAAAGAACTTGAACGTTTAAATTTGAACTTTTTAGAAATTGCAATACTAAAAGGGATATTGCACGTATTTAACGCTAAAATTCTTAAATGTTAATATCTTTAAAATGACATGAAAGCCTCTAGCTCAACTTGATTTTCTTTCTCTCCTTATTTTTTTCTTAAACCCTTTTTCCACTTGTTTTTTTTGCTTAACTTTTTACGACTGCAAAACGACGCAACAAACGAAAGGGAAATTCAATCTTTTTAGTGCGGAAGCATTAATGACTCGCAGTAGTACATTTTAGAGAAAAGGTTTTGAATAATTGATGCTGCGTGCATTAACAAGTTAAACAACGCCAAACTAAAAACAGAAAGACTTGAAGAAATTTTACGTGGCTTCATACAATAATTAAGTGGCCACGAAAATTGTTCCAAAGGGTGAGATCNTTTTACGACTACAAAACGATGCAACAAACGAAAGGGGAAATTCAATCTTTTTAGTGCAGAAGCATTAATGACTCGCAGTAGTAAATTTTAGAGAAAAGGTCTTGAATAATTGATGCTGCGTGCATTAACAAGTTAAACAACGCCAAACTAAAAACAGAAAGACTTGAAGAAATTTTACGTGGCTTCATACAATAATTAAGTGGCCACGAAAATTGTTCCAAAGGGTGAGATCGATGCTGCCAGCCCAGCAATCCAGTTTGTAAAATCAACCAATTCCCTGGTCAGTTCATAAAATCAATCTTTAAGGGAGGCTTTCTTTGATACATTACCTTTCTAGAAAATTCTGCTTAAATAGTACGGTAGTGCAAAAAATCTTAAATAACTGAGGAGCGAGCACAAAAAATAGAAACTAATACGAAACTGATAGAAAGAACCGTGTGGAATTCCTACTAAAAAAACTGTTTCATTTGTATAGTCATCAATTGGATTTCAGCTGATTGCATTCACACCGACTCTAAACGTTAGAACTGCATATTAAAGTAAATAGCACCAAGTGAAAGTATTGTTAAAAGAGGCTTCATAAATTCGTCTGATCTGGAAAACCAGGAAATAAGGACGAAGTTAGCAGTCATGGTCAAACAAGCTTGCATAACTACTGAAAAAAAAGAAATCGCGTAAATCTGATCAGTCTTCCTTTGCTTAGGTTTGGACCAAAAGCGCAAAAATAATCATCAATGGAAAAATGGCTACTGACAATACTCGTCACATTTGTTGCAACACTTGTCACGTTAAGCCCTCTCCAATGTCGATTCACTTATCACTCATTTGCAAATAAAGCGATGGGAAAGGAGAGAAGAAGTGCAAACGGGAAAAGGTTGGGTAAGTGAGTTGAGGAGGCGTGACATGAAAAAGACCCTAGTTTCAGTCTAGTGTTCAACGAAATTTGACGAGTATTGTTACTGCGCTTTTCACAAACATGCGAATTCTAAAGTTCAAAAGCCGACTGACGACTGCGTTTTTCGCTGCCGTCAATCATCTTAACGGACCTCTTAGGAAACAAAACTTTACTTTAACGGGTTCAAAAGGTCATGGTTCGTGATTTGTGATTGGTGGATTTCAATCCGTTTTGTGTGTTTCTGTGTTTCAAGGTTCGTTGCTTGTGATCGTAATTATGATTGACGGAAGCGAAAAACGCAATTGTGAAGGCGGCTTTTGAACTTTAGAGTTCGCATGTTTGTGAAAAGCGCAGTAAACAAATAGATTCCATATTGCCGTGGGTCTGTTCAGTAATAGATCACAGATGACGTCAAAATGTGGTTAAAACAAAGAAGTGGCGCAGAGCCGCAGGCGAGTGTGTCACTGACGTTTTTAGGCATTCTTAAGTTGTGAAGAGCCCTTTCTCTCCGTTTCTCCAATTTTATTCTTTGTAAATAGCTCTTGCTAACTTTTTTTCGAGGCTTTCACTTGCTTTAATCCGAAATGATGTCACAAACATTTTCAAAACCGCGCTCTATGTTGAACAAAACTAAAAGAAAACAAGTTCCCGTGACGTCATCCATGTACTGTAGTCCAATAGATCATAGGCAACGACCAATCACAGGGCGCGTAGCATTCACTTCACTGTATAATGTGCGTTGCTATCGTTACCTTAGTCCTCGTATCATCTACATATTACCATGGCATGACTGGGAATTTAAGGTATCGCCAAAAATTTAAATCATTTGTTAACACAAGGAAAGCTACGGCCCCAGCTTTGTCCTTACTAGGTTACTTAAAATAAGTCTTACTAGGTTATTGTCATCGGTTAGATGAACCATCACTATTAATTACTTTCTAAGAATGTAGTTTCTACTAGTATGTATGCATGACATTTTTTTCAGTTCTGTCAAAATGACGGCGAGTTACACCATCAGTATCGCATTCCTTTTTATGCTGATTCAAATATTCACTGAAACACTCTGTCAACAATGCATCAATGGTGGGTCAGAGGAATCCATCTTGGGTTGGAAGCTGCAAAACCACGTCTACAAGACGCTAAAGGCAAACTTTGGATATGAGTGCGTACTTATTTGTCGTCAGGACAGCAGGTGCCAAAGTTTCAATTGGGTGATCTCTCTTAACATGTGTGAGTTCAGCGACAGAACCAAAGAAGCCAGACCTGAGGATTTTGTTCCCGATCCAGACAGATATTACTACAGGCGAGACATGAATCGAGGTAAAGTTTATGTTAGTTAAGATCTCTCAGTATTGAAAGAAGTTTTTAAGGGGCCTCAGTGCACTTTTCGTGGCTTCATGCCCGGAGACATCTAAATTTCAGTCATCATTTCCAGGAAATATTTACGTTAATTTATTAGAAAAATTGACCACTTAACTGATCAATAACACCCGACAAAAAAGGCTGTGAGTTTTAAGAAAGAGGTACTATGTATGCGCGAAACTTTCATGTCCAGCCATAAAATAACTTGAAAATGACAACATTTTGTGCGATTGAGACCTTGTAATGAAAATTAATGATCGGCATCCTTATTATCTGGTGATTCTTCAGTGTCGCGGAAACCATTGTTGGTTCGCTTCTGTGGGTAGTGTCTAATCATTCGTTTGTATTATAGTATTACGTCATTAAGTGATTGCACCAATCCGCAACACCAAGAAACAACCTTATTTGGCAGGTTATTTTAAAAGAAAAATTTGTGTGTTATACTTTTATACTTTTAGTCATGCCGGGAAAAGCAGTATTAAAACTTCTCCGCATTGTTTTGTAGTTTTCTATTTTGTTAAAAATCGGTGCCACTGCTGCTGTCCCGCGATAAGATACTCCGGTCTACTTCGTCTCTCACTTTATGATCATTCATTGTTTTTATAGCGGAGCACCATGCGTAAGAAAAAATGGTAACCCATAGATGCGAGAAATCAGTGGTAAACGCGTGAAAACACGTCTGTCCACCCCCGACATGTAAGCCGGGATGAAGTTTGCATTCAAGCATGCGCGCGTTTTGGCGGTAAATCACATGGCCACCCGGACTGTTAGAGAGAAACGACAACAAACTTAAGCCGAGTCCTCTTTTTTTTTCGACTAAATCTTAATTATGTCTACACTGATGCGGATAACAGAGAAAGAGCTAGAGCGAGATAAGAGATAAAAAACAAAGAAGACGAATTTCGTTGAAAGAACAACATGAAAATTATGTAGTGGCGGTGAGAAAATGAGAAATGCTAGCGACCAGTAAGGTGAAAATGAACAGCAGTGAAGAAAAAAGAAAATTAAGAAGAAAATTATTTGTGAACACATACGACATTTCCTCCATGAAACGTGTAACAACGGCAAAGAAATGTAGAAGAAAGTAATTATGCTGCACGTGCAAAGTTGTTGTTTTGCTACTAAATCCAATTAATTTTCTGCTGTTCTCGTTGTCGTCGCCGTTTAGCATTATATGATTTTTGATAAATACGCAATAACATTTCACACGCTTGACATTTTAATAGTTTAAGTAACAAGGTTTGCTTGCAGATTATTTTCCCCGTAAATCATCCAGTCCTTCCACTGTATCAAATGTTAAGCATAGAATTGAAAAATTTCTTCACAGTGGTTTCAAGTATATTGCTTTATTTTATTTTATTTTTTTTTTCGTTTGAGTAAATTATAACTTTATTTACGAGAGCTTCGTTTTTTGCCTTGGCTAAATCTGTATATTAGAATTACCTCTCCAAGCCCTAAGAACATGCTCAGTTTCCTCGAACGGACCAGTTTCTTCGTTCAATGGTCGTCTAGATAGCCGACAATTTTCGTTTACCCTGCGTGTATCGCCGGATAACTTGGTCAAAAATATTTGCTCGGGCGAATAGATGCAACTGGTCGCTAATTATTGATTATTTTCAAGATCGTTTGTGCATTTTTATTAAATAAATTTGAGGAAGGGCGCTATAAAATTCTTCGAAAAAACTTCACCAAACGTGCATGTTATTGATGTCTCAAAGTTTCTATCAGTGATTATCGATTCGATGCTGACAATTTAATTTCAGAATAACCATTAGATAATTAATAAAACATTTTCTCTTTAGTTCCTCTTGGATCCACTCCTGAGCTTCCAGCTGAAACATGCAAAGAAATCAAAGCAAGTGAAGGGGAGGCAGAGAGCAAGAAGTACTGGCTGAGTACCATTAAACCTGGTTCTACTGTGCTCGCTCATTGCGATATGAAGACTGACGGTGAACAAATTTAAAAAACATATCTTCCTAAATTAATGGCGAGCGTGTCCTTTCGCGTGCTATTCTCGCGTGACTTATATTCTACTGAGCAAAATATTTGTTTCTGAATTTACCTAATTATAACTTGACTGTCATTTCTCTATTTAGGGGTTGTATTCTTTTATTATATTTTTATTTATTTACTATTTATATTTACGCTTTGATTTATTCTTGGTTTGCCCGTGAAGTCAATAAATATCAAACTAAGAAACTATCGATTCTTCTGAGTTTCTACTTTCACGAGGTATTACAGCACCTAAACATCTTTGATAAAAAAATTTTTGGTTCCAAAGGGTTCTTCGTTTTGCGAGAAACAACGCTTGAAGTTCCAGGCTTTTGCGTGACGCGGCATTCAGTTTAGCTGACGGCCAGGAGAGCTCTTATGTGGGTTAAAAATATTACCGATTTTGGGAGATTTTGCTATCTAAACATTCCTTGTCTCAAAATAAATATAACTTTATGACTTTATTATCTTTATGAGTTCCTCAAGCGAAGAATTCACGCATTAGTAGGAAAACTCGAAAACAGATGTTTCCGTTGGTATCCGGCTTTATAAATTTACTAGTCTAGGTAAATCGTTTTTTCGAATATCTCGCATTTGAAATATTGCACAGACCAGATTTTTGGCAAGACGTTTTGTATATTTATCTTCTTTCATTTCCCAGATTCTAGACGATCTGTATTGAGTGGCTTGCATTTTTATTTTTCGTTGCCTGACAGCGCAACCGAGAATTCTGACAGGATCTTATAGCTAACGGATTCAAAACAGCGTTTAGCATGGTTAGAAATAAGTAAAAAACTGGACAAAGTTAATGTTCGGCCGAATATCTATAGAAAACAAAGCGAAAATTTTTCAGAGGAAACAAGCTCCCGTGAACGATTCCCAGTGCCAGGAAATACTCCGGCTGCAAGTAAAATAAGTAATGGCGTCATTTCGTTGCTATGACAACTCTAATGTCATTGTAACCCTGATCATAACAAATTTTCGATGTTATCTAATACAGCTGTGGTAAAAATTTTTCCAATTCTTTGTTAATGGCGACGTAGTTTATGCTCAAACTTCGGAGGTATTGACCCCGAAAAACCCTATAGAGCCACCTTTGTTCGAGGAAAACGAGCACGGTGACACTTTCTCGTGCATAATAAAGGATATGTCATTTTGGACCTTCAGTAAAAGCGATTTCTGTACTATAACCCTGACGGTACTCCGGAGGCTAAAGTGGATAAGTATGTGTAATCAAATGGTGACGCGTGAAATTAGGGAATAATTTCAATCGCGTTTTGTCCAAAGCCTAAAAATTTCCCGAGCCTTTAGGCTAGGACAAAACGCAAGTGAAATTATTCCCCAATTTCACGAGTATACCATTTGATTACCAATTAATATCATGGGTGATGAATTACGTTAGCAATCGAGGATTTTTGACTTATTTATGCTAGATCGCATCGATCGATCGTGATTCCACTCTCTCAAACGTTTAGAGCTGAAATTTGGATTAAGTTTTCAGAATTTTTCGACAACATACCTCTAAGAATCCTTCTTGATGTGCTCTTACGTGTGTTCAGGTTTTCTAAAGCGTATTTTTATACCCTGACATCTTCATTCATGACATTTTAAAACTTCGTCGCCATCTTGACACTGAGACGTACGGCAGGTTGCCATGGCAATTTAGTAATTTCACTTGTGAAATTACAAATTAACGCTGAAATTTCGCGCCAAAATTAAGGAGTAATTCGTCACCTATGATATCATGGCCAAAATTCATCATGTGTCTGTGTGTTTGATCAAACACATCCTGTCCAATCAGCTTCAACACAGACTGAATAGGCCATTTGCACTAAGAGTTCATGTGACTCATGAAAGTTATATGATTTGCCATTGAAAAACGATTAGTGGCTCATATCTTAAACAAAATAATAGTGATTTGGTTTTTCAAACCCGCACCATTTTCTTAAAATGGGTAAGCAGGGTAAGTTCGTAGCTGGTCACGTAACCAAAATGTGATTTTTAAAATTATGAATTACTTCTTTCTGAAAACAAATTTTGCACCTCAACTTCAAGGAAAATGTTGAAAAGACGAAGTGGTAACGTTTACAGCACATCTGAGCCTCACTATCAAACGTTTTTTCGGTGGCCGCTATGTTGTAGGGCAAGAGTATGCCCTCCAACAGGGCGGCCAATACAAATCATACTACTTTGTTGAAAAATCAAAGTGCCATAAAATATCTCCCTTAAAAGCGTTTCCTCTCAAATTTCGGCTGTAAGATAATTTTTAAGTGCTCTGTCAATTTTTGGTATCAGCAAGATTCCAACTCATTGTTTGGTCACGTGACCTCTTAGTGCAAGTGGCCTATTGTAGTCTGAAATGGATACCAAGGATCAGATTAATGGCTACCCTAAAAAATCGGACCTGATCCACGCTGTTCTGATTAATGAAGATAGAGAAAAATGCAATGCATGCACCAGCATGTAGGGAAAAAGTTTACAGATCAGAGTTATAGTTTAAAGTAAAAACAATTCATTTGAAAATTGAATACAATAAAATCTTTCAAGGCTTTCGATGTTTTTCCTTTCGGTGACAAAATTATCCGCATACCTGTAAGCTACTATGCGATAGCTTCCTCATATCTTTGTTTCTCTTTCCCTATGTAACCACTGAGACCTTCGTTTTTCTTCCTCTTTCTTGTCTTTTATGGTCTCTTATAACCTAAGTCTGTGTCTTTGTCCCGTCAAACGGAAGGTTTGTTTTTGTTGAAAATATTTGTTGCAAATTATTAATTACTCTTGATAAAGTGTTTTATGAACATTTCCTTAAAAAAATTATTCGTGAGTGTGTTGCTAGTAAAGACAGGTTTTACATAATTCAAAATACTATTAATTGTGTTATTTTTACTCAGATGTCGACGAATGCACTGCTTCCTCTCCCGTCTGTGATGTCAATGCTCAATGTTTGAACACTCGTGGGTCTTATAGCTGCAGATGCAAAGTTGGTTATTCTGGAA